TCACATAATGTTCACATTTGTTGAATGTATTATTTAAGTGTATAAACACATGCCATTTTATTGTCAAAGTATGTGTTTGTGTATATATACATATATCTTATAGTACTGTCTCTCAATTGCAACCTTATCCTGTCCCCTTCCAGATTAGAAGGGGAAGTTGACAGGCTGGAAGCTGATCAATCGGCGATTGTATACACTAAGCAGATTGAAACTCTGGAAAAGACACTTGCACAGGTGAGATACTACAACTATCTACTGTAGTTTGTGTCCAGTATATAAAGCTAAGGTTTAACCATGGTAGGAGAAACAAGAATTATTGACCAATTAAGTAAGTCTGTGAGTTTACTTTTAGATCAAAATTGTATTGATCAGAATATTATTATGTTTTTGTTGGAATTTTCTTTTCAAATATTTTGTAGGCTCAGGCAGATGCATGTAGCTGGCAGCAGCGACTGAAGGAAGCTGAAGAGAACTACCTGGCAGAGAACATCAAGATCCGCACAGACCTCACTGCCCGGTTGGAGCGAATGACTAAGCAGTATGAGGCTGCCAACAAGGACAAGGAGTCTATGGTCATAAAATATGCCACTTCAGAAAGAGAGGTTTGTATTGGGGAGCAGGGTGTACAGGATGCAAAAATCAGCCCACCAGCTAGCCCAGCTAAATCTCTGAAGACAATCTATTCCAAAGCCTACAAATAGAAGTAAAAAAGCATCTTGAAAACTGAGATGTTGACAATTTACTTGCATCAAATGCTGGTCTTTTGATTATGTGGATACCACCTCCATAATAAGGATATCAGTCCAAATTATGCTGGTCCACTTGGCAGTTATTGGTGGTGCAATATATTAATTTATGACATGATTATTTGCAGGCATTTAGTTTATGGCTTATTCATTTAGAGATATTTATGTAAATAATTTCTGCAGGTTATTGTTGCCAGACAACAGAAGGAGGCTGTGGAAAAGAAAATGAAGGAGATGGAAAAGGAAAGAGAACAGCTACTGAGTAAGAATAAAATGCTGATTGGCGAAAGAGCACGAATCTGCCAAACACTTGACACAAAGGTGAGCATATTATGAACAATGTGTGTGTATATGAATAAGCTTATATATATATACATATGTATATGTTCTTCCCTAAGATTAATATATTACTGATGTTTTTTCATTCTTTTTTTCTTTTCTTCCTTCTTTTTTCCTATTATAGATATCTTTTTTTAATTGTTCATTATTCTTTGTTTTCTTCTTCCTTTATGAGTTATATATAAAAGTCCCATGTTATCATGTTATTTGTTTTCAAGATGCTATTTATTCTTTTGTTCACAGGTCCAGAAGATCAACTCCTTCCAGCGCGAAGTTGATAGGCTGAAGGAAGAAGTTAGTAGTCGGGAAGTGAAGATCAAGTGGGCCCAGACCAAACTAAAATCAGAAATGGATGCCCATAAGGTATGCTAGTTTTTAAGAACAGTGGTTAACTAATGGAGAGTAATTGGTCTTTAGAAGTCTAGTAAAATATGATTTGATTTATGAAGTCTGGTTTACCCTTAAAGGGCAGATATAAGGCAGTGAGGTGGGTAGAAATCTACTTGCCTAAATTTTAAATGTGATATTATGCCCTAGCCTTTCCCTAGAATAGTAGCTATATGGAGGGCCAGGGAATTTCTTTCCAGTTTGCTAATTCTACAACAGTTCCATTTCTCTTATGTTTGAAAATTGCCTTGGCCAATCTCATTGTAAATCATTTTCAGGAATGGTTAATTGGGGTATTTCTAGCAATTTATAAATTAAAACCTCTGATCAGAGCCTGCTTTTCTGCTTCAGTTACTGGATTCCATTTCATGCAAGCTATTCTATGAAATCTGTTTGTTTCCTGTGACTGCAGAAAATTATTGGCCAAATCTCAGATCAATATTTATATCTGCTAAATATCATGAATTCAGTCTCCATTTTTGGAGAGCCAGCATAGAATTTTACCCACATCTAAAAGAACTCCTCTTCTCCAAACCAGGAAACACAAGCCAAGTTGGACCGAGCTCTTACTAAAATTACAAAACACGAGGAAGAGCTCAAGTCCATTAAGGAAGAGGCAGAAAAGGTTGTCCGCAGCACCAGAGATGATGAAAACTCCAGAGCAAATGTCCTTGGTAGCTTCCTTGCTCTTTCTTGTTTGGGATTGATTGTTGTATTTCTGTTTTTGATGACAGATTTCATAGAGTGACTTATTCAGATATTCCAAGGCAACAATATTAAAAGTGATTGAAGCTGTAGACATTAAGTGAGTGTGCATCATAAATCATATATAATCCAAAATCACTAATCATATCCGTATAGATATTTAAAATTCTCCATCCTACCTTTTCCAGACAAGCAATTAAAGGAAGAGAAAGCACGACTCATCATGGAACGCCAGGTGTTCGAGGACAGAGGGTCGGCCTTCAACAAGGTTTCAGCAGAACTAGAATCACTGAAAGCTAAACATTCAGCGCTGGTAGAGGAAG